ATAAGTGCAATTCAAAAATAATTGTTACAGTCAAGTTCCAGACCTCAAAGTGTTCCTAGCACAAACCCAAATAATAAAAAATCAAATTTGTGGCAAACATGAAAGAGAAAGTAAAATAAAAGCAACCCCACCATCCATTCTAAGAGTGAGTTCATAGAATGCCCCATCACAACTTTACTTATACTTCTGCAACTTCATCCCACACTGGTTCCACATGGACTCCCCACTACAGAAGGTCGGCACTGGGTGACCACAATAGACTGTATTTTGAACACAGTAACCTGCTTCATTCACTTATAACATTTCTGGTTTGGGGCAGAAGCATAAAACCCACAAGCATGGGAAGTTACCATCTGGGCATGCATTAACAATATTATTTGTATAGTCTTATGTGATACTCAATACACTCCCCAATAAATGCTCCTTTAAAATATTAGGCAGTACAGAGACAATTTGCAGTGTACGGCTATCCTATGTGGAGTCACAAACAACATTTGCTCACACTGAATATATAGCAAAACCTACCCTGGGTAGCAATGTATTCTTGCCATCTTTGCCTGTATCTGCACAGCTTACAACTATTAATCACTGCTGCAATTCTTTCAGAAGCAAAAGCGCACATAGCATCTTTATTTTACATAGTAACTAACACTTAAAGGCCTTGGTTTGTACCAAAAACTTCATTGTATATACAGATCCTTCACAGATTTGATAAATTGTAATTCCCAGCTATATGTCTTGCCAAAGTCTCTACTAAAATGCTGTATAACCACTGTATTTATGACTGTCCTTTGAGACTACAACAAATGCACACAATTATTCAAGATTATTCCAGCCATTAAGTTGCGAGGCTTTATTGCTGCAATTTGAATGGATATATTTCTTCTTTACCAGGAAAAATATGGATTGATCACCTCTGTTTTCAAACAATAACGGAGAAAATACTTAATCTAATTCCCACCAAATAAAAACCTAGATCATTTCCCACTAGCAAAACAGCCTACTGCACATACAACCCACAGAAACAGTGACAATGCCAAAGAACAATGTCTGCTACAGAAATTAAGGGATTTATTTCTTTATTTACAGTTTAATGTATTTACCCAAGTAATACAAACTCAAATATCTGATATGCCTCCTGGGTCAAACCGCTTGGTTGTGTCAACCTTTTCTTCCTTCAATTAACCTACTTTTATAAAACAAGAACACCACCCTGTACTTTATTTGGTCCATTAAAGTTTACACCATGCTACACTGGTACCGGTTTGTACTTGAGAATTTTCCTGGGGATCCAAAGGCTTTGAGAACATTGTATAAACAATTTCACTGGTAGGTGTCTTTCCCACAACAATTTTATCTCTTCAGGATTAATTTGAAATTATTGTCATGAAGGAAGACATATGGCAAGTGTTACGTAAGAATGGAAACTCCACATGGATTTTGCTGAAAAGGCCCTTGTGTTAGACACTAATGCAGAAACCCTGCTCACATGGGTTTTCTATTCTGGTATGTTCTCCAAGTAGCAAATGAAAAGAAAAGAAAAGAAATGGTAACCCATGGTCCTCTTTAATTAAGTTTCCTGGGCAGCCTTCTGTATGCATAGTCAATTCCAATCCTTGTTCACAGATATATCCAGATTTTCTGGTGCATATTTTTTAAAAATCTCAAAAGCCTGAAACTTTTCTCTAAGACACAACAGTGTTTTATTATTATGTTCTGAAGGCACGTGAGGCCATCACCTTGCTGAAACTAAGCAGATCTGAGTGTAGTCAGTGCCTGAAAGGTGATCACTTCAGAAACAAAATAAAAAAATTCCTTCCAATAGCACCTTAGATACCAACTAAGTTTGTTATTCGTATGAGCTTCTGTGTGCATGCACACTTCTTCAGATACCAGAAACACATGCATACCACCTGGGGTTCCATTGTGGAAGAAAGGCAAGATACAAATGTAAGAAAATAAATAAACAAATGGTGCACTATTAAACATATCTTGTGTTCAAAACACTATGTGATATGGCATAGCAATCAAAGATGCAATACTGTGCATACACACACATGTATGTGCCTACACAAACACACACCCTACCAAAGCAGTATTCTGCTGAATAATGTTTTGGAAGTCCATGCTTTTATGCTATTTCCTTCTTCTACCCCCCCCCAACATATTCAAACGTGTTTAGATATTATTCTACTCTTCAAATAATATTGTAACCTTTCTTTTGAATGCCATATTCAATTCATAAAATGTCATGGTCTATGCAGTGGTTTTGCCCTGACAGCAAGACTTACAATGATTCCAGCATCCAATTAATATCCCAAGAGGACCTTGTGCACTTCTATGTGCATTGGTGTTTCCCTGTTTTCTCTTCAAATGCAGTTGTTCTTGTGTTCTGTTGCAAGCTACTTTCAAAAAAATCCTGAGTTTTGAAAGTGGTTTTTGCAAAAAGAGGTGATGCTCAAATGTAGGTTTCTCAGAAGTCCTACTGCATTTGTTGAGCTTGCCTCACAGTAACCCTTGTGGATCCAAGCCAAAGCATTTAACACTCAGATCCTTAAACGATGGACTGTACCAAGACATATCACTATAATATGCCCATACAAAAGTAGTCTTATAATGTATTAGCTTGCTTAGAATGCTTAGAATGACATCATAAGAATGTTCAAATATTTTCACGCACCATCTAGCCTTTCAAACGCTTTTTGAAAAATTCTCTCAAGAAAGATATATTTCAAGTCATTGGTCACTCTGTTGGCCAAGTGCTATTTGAATCCTTTACTGTGGTGCATTTATAAACTGGTACCACATACCCATCTTACGGAAAGAAGCAGCTTTAGGCTGATAGCCCAAAGAAAAATTCTTAGCTATAAGATATTTCAGTATGGCATTGGGGAAATTATTTTTCTTCTTATACAGTTAAAGTTTGCTGCAGTCATCCACTTCCATATTTTATTTCATTTTGAGTAAAACAACAGTTATAAACTGAAAATTCCGATGCACACATATATGATATGTTGTTCCAAACAACTAGATGTCAACTCTTCAAGACTGCTGCACTGAGTACTTTGAAGCTTTACACACAGAGAATGCTATCTCACTTGGCTTATTATCAAGGAAGACCATGCAGTCTAGTGTCTTGCATTACTAAAATGTTTCTCACAGTTGTCTACAAAATCATCAAGCGTTTATTAATACCTTGCAATGAAGTTAAATTGGGAAAACATATCATGAAGTACAGGTGACATCCTGCCTTATCTGAAGCAGAAGTGTTAACGGCTGACAAGCTGATTTAAGTGATCAATAGTTCCATGTTGCCTCCCCCTGCCCCAAACTATTCTGGGCAGACTAGGAACAGTGGGTAAGGCCTCCAGTTAGGAACAATTTTATATATCCAAAGGCTGTCCTGGGAATCTGATCTCTGAAGTTGCCTATGCAGACACAACAAAGAGTGTACAATGAAAATCGTTTCACTTTCCCCATATTTGACAAATAAAAGAAATTTGCAGGATAAATACAAGGTGCATTGCCTCCAATCCATTAACTGCTTAGTCCAGAATAGTATCCCTTAGCTTGCCTTTAGGAAAGTTGTTTCTATATTGTGGCCACGACAACTCAAAGTGCTTTAATCTTCCTACATTTACCCTGATTTTGAAACTTGCACTGATACCTTGTATCAGACTACTTTCCAGCCCATCCTTGTCTTTTCTCCTTAGAAAGCATTTAACATGGCCCCAGTGCTTTTACCCAATGAAATCCATATGCTTTACACTGCTCAATTCCACAACAGAAAGAATAAGCTTTTCAAGTGAAACTCAAAAGGACATTATTGTCAAAGCACTTGCCACTAAAATTAAAGAGAAATATTGAAATCGCTTAGCAAAATCCATTAAAAAGTCTCCAGCAATTACCGGCTTTATATGTTTCACACAAATCATGCCAAGCAGTGTAAAAGAAATTGGGGTGGGGGGACGCTCCCCAGTGCTTCCCCCATCAAGCCAAATGCCTCTTGACATTTGTCAAGCCAGAACTATCATAAATCTTGAAGAAGTTACAATGCAAAAGAACAAAAAAACCCAAAACATATCCCTGGTTAAATGAAGCCAGACACTAATTTGATATAAAACATTTTGCAAATATTAAGGCTTCCCTTAAGGGATCCATATTTCACAATTACGGCCAGCTATTAAAGCACGCGATGAAAAGAGATGGGATGGGAGGAAGAGGGGGAGGGAAGGAGTTGATGAGTTTTCATACCCGATGCTTCCTTGGTCCAAGTGCAGAAATGCCCAGAGGAGAGCGAGAACTCGGAACAGGAGGAGATCCGAGGAGGAATGCACCCGGATGGCAGGAGGTGGTACTGCCTTTCCCAATGTGGGAGCTTAATAGCTTGTACTTGGACAAACCTCACCTTCCCCAGGTAAGGAAGGCTGACTCTCTCGCTGCCATAGCCCAGCCTGGCAATGGCATCTCTGCTTCTCCGTCAGAGCCAAGTCTCCGGGGCAGGGCGCACACCAAGCCCTACCCTCCTAAGTGGTTGCCAAGCCCCTTTCCCACCGATCTCTGCCACAGATCCTCACCCCAACAATGCACAGAGCCCGCCCGCCCCTTCCCCAGCGCCCTCAGCAACCCCCAGAGCTGCCCGGCGGAGCCAGAGCGCGGAGGCATCCCCACATTGGAACACAATGGGACTTACTCCCAGGTAAGTGCGCACACGCAGGATGGCAGCCTCCAGCAGCCTCCCGAACAATGCACTGCAGAGCGAGAGGGAGAAGGAGTGTGTGCGTGTGCCTTCGCAAAACTGCACCAGGAAGAGAAGCAGAGAGGCGCCCCTTTGCAAGCCAAACACGCGCGCGCGCGTGCCCACGTATACATACACATGCACCCACCCACCCACCCCAAAGTGTGTCCCTAACCTTCGAGCCGAGGAGAACCCCAAAGTGCCCGCGCCGCGCCAGAAGGCGGCACAGTCCCCAAGCCCCTTCGCTGAGCTCCATACTCACGCGCAGGGCTCTCCTCCGCGATGGCAAGGCAGCTCCAGCCCAGCAGCCCAAAGTCCTGCTGACGGAGGGCGGGGAGGGAGGGAGGGAGGGAGATGCCCGCTCCTGCTCTCCGCCTGCCCGCTCCCCCGCCTCCTCTTCGGGATTCGCTTCTCCTCCTTCCTAGCTCCGGCTATGGCACCGCTTGGCGCTTATCCTTCGCCAGCAAGAAGTCTCCTTGGCGTCTTCCCCGCCAAACCGGGCAGCGCCTGGGCGACGGAGGCAGAGAGAGAGAGAGAGAGAGAGACCGCGGGCAGCAGCCGGAGCCGTAGAGCGCGCGGGAGAAGTAGTGGAGTTCAGGAGGCGGCGTTTGCTGCACATCCCCCAGCGGCCCAGGCCAGGTGCGGCAGCCGGAGCAGCAGCAGCGGCGGCAGAGCTCGCTCCCGCGGCGCAAGCACAGCGCGACCACCACCAGCAGCAGCAACCCGCGTCCCTTCACTTCCAGTCAGCTTCGCTTGTGAGGAGGGCAAGCGGCAGGGAGAGCGCGAGGTGGCGGCGGCGGCGGAGAAGGTGGGGCTGAAGCACATTCTTGCCCTCACTTCCCGAGGCAGCGTACAAACTCTCTCGAATTCCTGGCGGCAAATTGGCCCTCCCTTCGCCTTTGGGAAACAGCCGCCAACATCGCCCGTTGCCTTACGGCTCTGTGTGTGTGTGTGTTGTTCCTCAGTCCTCACATAAACCGGAGCCACCTCCTCTGCTGTCCCTGTGGCGATGTTTGCACGCAGCAGCTCCTCTCTCGGCTCCCCGCTGCCTGGGGTCGAGTCACGGCAGCAGCTGCCGCCGCCACAGCTTCTTCTCCGCCTCTTCCCCTTCTCCGGTCTCGGAGGGAGCCGGCAGCAGGCAGCCTCGTCTTCCCTGTTCCCGCCAAGCGAGCGAGGCTGCCCTCCGCCCACTCCCGCGGGGCTGCCAGCCGCCCGCCGGGAGCGGCGCAGGTGCTGCCAGAGGACGGCCCGGCAGCAGACGCGCGGCTTTCGGAGAGGGCCCGCCGGGAGAAGAGCGGCTTCCCTTCGGGGCCGCTGCGCTGCCGCCTGGCTCCCCTCCCGGCCTTCGTCCCGGCCAGAATGGGTAGCCGGGCGCCGCCGAAAACTCGCAGCGTCGAAGCGCGTAGACGAGAATTTCGTCGGCTTCGCTGTCAGTTTTTGCTACCTCAGGCTGTTAGCTGGGCGAGGGGGGAGGGGAAGGGGAAGAGGGAAGCGAATTAGAGCAGATGCCAAGCCTCCCACAGATTGGATAGCGGAGCCAATTGTGCTTTGGAGCCCCCCCCCCCCCCGCCCCATAGCAATGAAGAGTTGTGCGAGGCTAGGATATCCTGACTCAGCACAATCCATTCCATCAGGCTTGCACGCCGGATAGTGACTGGGGTTGTTAGCGGTTCACATGGCAAAAGGACCAGTCCGTTCAAGTGGCACCCGGAAAAAAGAAACATGCACACAGAGCCTTTGGTTGGAAGACACCCACTCTGAGACACACAGGGAGAGAGGGAGAGAGAGAGAGAGCTAACCTGACTTCAGAAAGAATTGTTTCACATTCCTCTGTGGCAAGACTTGCATTGGTTTACATCACAAGTGGGGAACCTCAAAGCCCAGAGGTAGCAAACACGGCTCTCTAGTCTAGACATCTCTGTCCAGCTGTTGGGGCTCTCCTGGGCCATGCCTCCTCCCCAGGTCGCTCCCCTCACTGACCCCACTCCATATGCTTCTCCAGTTCTTTTGCCTGGCTAGGATGTAGCCTCCTTGAATTCAAATAACATCTTTTGCTTGCCTGGATGGAGAGATGTATGCATAGAAAGGGACTGGCTTTACCATGCCTGACTGTCGTCTCCTGTACAAAGATAAGAGTCACCACATCTGTTGCCCCAACTACCACTGGCAAGTGGCTGCATGGGGAGTGCAGCCCTCCCACCCTTGGTTTAAACAGTTTTTATGGGGGAAACGGTTGCTCAAATAGCCGAATCATAGAATAGCAGAGTTGGAAGGGACCCTGAGTGCCATTTCATCCAACACCCTGCAATGCAGGAATCTCAACATCCACGGCAAATGGCCATCCAAACTCTGCTTTTGTGTTTCACTGTTTGAGCCATCCTATCTGTATGCAACAGAGCCATAACTTAATTAAATATATATCATTTTAATATAGATTCCTAATATCATACATATCCTTTGAAAGGAATTATGCTGCACACAGTGATTTGCTTCTGACATTGTGAAGGCTCCCAAATGCAGATTTTATTACACAGGCCTGTTGTGCTTTCGAATATGCATCTGATGTGAAACCAATCCACGAATCTACCAGGTGGATCAAACAACTCTCCATGGACACATCTGATTATTAAACCAGCTCACAGATGTGCATAGTGTAAACACAGCTATACTTTTGAATGTGGCAACACCACATCTACACCAAAGTTTTAGTGTAGACCAAATACGCCAAAAGACACTGATAAGCAGTTAATGTCAATGAAGAGTGGCAATGACTGAAAAGAGTGGCAAACATCAGCTTTTAAAAGACAAGGTACTTATCAGATGTGTGCAGTGCACACATGCTTTATGCAGCAACCACATAAATGTGGATAATTATTCCAGATCAATGTGTCATTCTTAATTTTTTTCAGTGCCTGGCAGTTATCCTCTCTGCCCTTTCTCATTCCTGTTGCCCTCTTCCCCTAGCTCTTTGTTCTTCTAGATCTGGAAAGGAGAACTTCAAGCTGAAGGGCTGAATGCAATACCCCGGCCCCTCATACCTGGCCCCTGGGACTCTCCCCAGGCTACATCTCATACCAGCCTTAGTTTTCAAATGCTTTTTCTTGACAGGAATCTGCCCTTGAACTGCAGCAATGCCTCTAGCTTTGCTGGATTGAGGATGGAGAGATGTACGTGGGGAGTGAGTACAGGAGGTTTCTTTCCAGACAAATAGCAGAGATTACTATGCTAAGGTTAGTATCCTTCTCTTTACAAAAGTAAGCTCCACTTGTTTCTGCTTCCACACACTTTTTACTTCTCAACCTGCCCACACTGGGATCTGGCTGCCAGAAGTTTGCCCATGGGGAAAAGAACACCCCTAGGCTGAAAGAATATCCCCTGTCCCTGCTCTAGATCACCTCCTGTTTCTTAAGCCTGTCCTGACTTCAACTAGCTCCTGGTTGCCTAGGTCCCTTGCTTATTGTTTTTATTTTCTTGGGACCTTCAGCCCACTATGCTGAACAGCTCAGCCAATGGAGAGATCTCTCTCTCTCTCTCTCTCTCTCTCTCTCTCTCTCTCTCTCTCTCTCACGGCACCTCATCCAATTCCTGCTTCTTACTTCTTCCCCATCACCACTATATTTTTTTTACTGCATCACAGCATATATTCTGGAATGGAGCCTATGAACAAATAAGCACATGACTACTGAGTTTCCTGCTACATAACCATCAAGGGACTTCATTCTACTCTCCTTCCCAATGAAGTCAGTCAATGTGATGCCAGACTGGTCTTCAGTATTTATTTTGAAGAAAAGAAAATGCACAGCAAAACTATGGATAGCAGCTACAATCTTCAAAAATGTGCTATTTGCGGGGGTCGGGGGGCGGCTTGCATGTCAGATGGGATCTGTTCTCACAATTAACTAATGTATTGTTGCTATGCAATTGTTAGTAAATATTTGCATTGCCTTATTAAATAAAGTCACATTGTGAATAAAATACATTAGCTTTGTCACTGGGAACACATAGTTTATTAGAGAAAATTTAATGTTACAGAAAAGGAAAGTGGGTAAGGTCAGCACTGTGCTTTCCCCTTGACCATAGCGTGGCAGTAAGCTAATAAATCATTTTAAAACTTTATTGATCTGGGAAATAACAAAACTGTAAACTTGTCAGTTTGACAAGTAATCTGCCATAGTAATACATCACAATAGAAATGGATACCAGACATAAAAGGCTACAACAATAAAATATTCAGTTATAAAGAACTTCTTAGTTGCTTGCATGCATGACATTTATGCCATTATAGGTAGGTATGCATGATCTTTAGGTTTTGCTAGAATGGAAATGAAGACGTGAATAAAGGTTTCAAATTTCCATTCAATGGGGGGTATGAAGTATGACACCCTCCATAGTAAATAAGCAACTCTGATTTGGGACAGGTGCACAGATGATGAATTTGGAAAGTTCTGCCATTTTTGCATTCTGTGCAATGCCTGGCACAGACACTGCTGGTGCCAAATAATTGTTAAAGTAATAATAGCAGCAGTCATAGTCGCCGTGGGTGTTAGGCGTTGTCAGCAATATCCACTGAAGCAAGAAGAGATCTCAGAGAGAGAGAGAGAGAGAGAGAGAGAGAGAGAGAGAGAGAGACTCACTAGCAACAGTAGGAAAAAAATGTTAGGAGTTGCTTTCTTTGAGGCTTCTACTTTGTTTCTTCCTTACAATTTTCTGTTTATTAATATGTTTATTCCATTACTTTCTCCATTGGGTCTTGACAGGTTAGTTGTGGCTGCTGTTGTCAAATAAAAGCTGTAAGACCTATGCTCACAATGAGAAAAGAGAAGAGTAGGGGTTTCCCCCCCTGACATAGCCTCGATCAAAGGAAAATCCATCACCAAGATCTAGAATATTTTTCTGACATTTGTTACGCAATATTCAGGGATGGTGCTGCCATGAGACTTTACTTTAGTCTACATATTGACAGGGAGCAATGGTACTTGGAAAGGGACTACCTCTACCTGCCAAGATGTAGGGATAGATGAATCTGTCAAATTTGGTTTTGCCATATTTAATAGGATAATAGATCTTTGAATCAGAGAGATGGAAGGGACTCTGAGGGTCATTTGATCAAACCCCCTGCAATGCAGGCATCTCAACCAGATCATCCATGACAGATGGCCACCCAACCTCTGCTTATAAACCTCCAAGGAAGGAGAGCCCACCACCTCTCATGGGAGTCTATTTCACTATCAAACAGCTCTTATTATCATGCACTTTCTGCTAGTGCAGTTTTGTGCACATAAAGCACAAAATTCAGAGGTATGGGTTTTGAAGGATAGCAGCATTTTAGATTGTGTACGATCTCAGGGGTGCGAATTAGATAAGTTTGCTTTGAAATGCAAACAGAATGGAATCCCCATCCCCATCCTTGCAGGACAGAGCTTAAGTTAAACCTGTACTTGCCTCATTAAGTGTGTGCAAGGTGAGCTGGAGAGGAACAGTTTGAGGCCTGTATTTTGAAGAACTAGATTTCATTACAGAGGCAGCAGCATGGAAGCTGCCGCCTCAGAGAGCAGAACTTTCAGGGTTTGTTGAATATGTATGCTAACAGTTGTAAAGGAAGCTGGGTTGCAAGAGCACCTGGGCTTTCTCTATGCTACACATTTCATTGCTTCTGGTTGCATGTTATGACAACGTAAGGTGGTTCTTCAGCGCATTTGCAATATATGTGAACAGTCCCAGTTTGGAATATACGTCATATGTACATTGTCATAATGAACAATTATTGCAACAGCCTTGCCATTGTGATCGCAGAAATTGCTTTTTACTTCAATAATATCCGGCACCCACAAACCATAGATGGACAATCACTGTCCCCATGATGGTTAGCCTAAATGCCACATCGCAGTCTAGCACAATTATTTTGAATTGCATAATCCAAAACACGAATGGTTGCCAACTTGCCCCTCCCCTATGCTCGATGCATTATTATTATTATTAGTAGTAGTAATAGTATTTTGGGGGGCACCTAACATTGCAGCAATAAACCAGATGTAGAAAAGCAGGCATCTAGATACAGCCAGAGAGGAATAAAGGACTTTGTGAAGTCAAGTTCCAAGAATCCCCAGGTTACCCTGTGCCATTCCTACTAATATTGCTAATCCTCCATTATTTGGAAATGCAGGGAAGGACAGGCAGGGATGTTGAATCAGAGCACTTGACACCAGAGAAGAGCCATTGAGTCAATTTCCGCAAATGAAAATAGCACGGTACAAGCCAAATACAGGAATTGTTTAGCGGCTTTATGCAGCCGGGGGGGGGGGGACCTTTAATCACATGCATTGTATCCAATTAGTGCAGGTTATTGCCCTTTCTCTGTGATGGAAAGTTTGTCAGGAGCCAAAACCTGCAGCTAATT